GCTGAAGTGTAGGATGTCGCACTTACTGTTGCTGACTCCAGCCTGCTGTGGGGTGAGGGTCCTTTTGGGAGGTGGGGGATGCTGTTTGGGTTGGGTTTTTTTTCTTCAGATGATTTTTTTTTCTTCTTCTGAGGGTCCTTTTTTATGCTAATCTTTTTCTTAAAAATGTTTGCACTGCCTCTTTATTATTTCTTATGTGGGCTTTGTCATCTAACTGAAATTAATTCTGAATACTGGATTTGAGACCTAGCCTAGAAAAAAAGTCTCTCAATACATCTTTGAAGTTTGACGGTATATTAACATCATATTTCAGTAAGTTTTAAGTTTTGAATCTACTATTTCCAGCCAATTTGAAAGCATCATTGTGTCTATTCCTCTTGCTCTTCTTTTTCCCTAAACTTTTTGTTTATTCCTCTCCTGTTTTGGACATCTGTTCACTATTAAAGGTCTGCAGTGCATAGATATTCTTGGTATGATGGCACTGGCTTTACTGCTGAACAGTAGTTTGATTTTTCCATGATCTTTTTGTGCCACTAGTAGGCAATTTGTTTGCTTGAAACATTTTATTTAATCTTTTATTTTATCTGCTGCTTATGTCCAGCTTTATATGCAGATGATTTTATTCACCACAAGAGTCCCTCTATAGCATTTGGACTATACTTTGAAGCAATTTATTTTTCTGATGCAAAAAAACCCTAACAGTCTTATTAAAAGTGGTGTCAAATTTTACTTTCTGTTTTTTTTTTTTCTGTGAAAGGAAATTAGTTTGTGATTTCAACAACTTGACTTTTTTCTACACCGCTGAGTCCATTAATTTCCAGGATATCACAGGACACATAGCCCAAGGTAATGTCCTTGAGTTTTACTCTTCCATGTCAAACAGAAGTTAATTGTGCCCTCAGGGTTCTTTTGAGTGATCATCATATTAGTTCTGAGTATAGTAAGAGCAGGATTTTTTTGGGGGCTGCTGTCAGGTTTTTTTGTAATTTGAAACTCACAAACAAGGCCAGCTTTTTTGGGGAAAAAAATAAAATTAAAAACTTTTAAACTGTATTTCAAGCACATCTTTCTATAGAATTAAGTTTGCATCCTATCTGCTGTAAACAAGTATATTTTCCATGGTACATGCTATCATTTGGTTACATGGGGGCAGAATATTGTGCAAGCAATTGTTTAAACATATCAAGAATTGTCCATACTGCCTGTGTAGATACTAGTTTTTATGTTTGCAGAGAAATAACAATGCATGACTCTTTTTCAGGTATTGCTTTCCATTTTAATCACATGCTCATCATTTTCAGTTTTAACAATATGTCATATAGGATTATGGCTAAAAGTAGAAATGATCTAAGTAAACATTTACATACAATTTGCAGTGCTTTTCCCTTTTTTAATTTAATAGCGTGTATTGGAGTGACATAACTTTTTTTTAAATAGAACACAGAGGCCCTGAGAAATTGAAGTGTACTGACTAGCCTAAAGGACATGAAGAATCCTGTTTTTAATGTAATTCTTAATGAAAGTCCCACCTTTATAATTGAAAAGATTGCATTGATGTTAATCCAAATGTGCTTTAATGAGGGGGAACAACACTTCTAATTACTTATAACTGTGGTATTTACATTCCAAAGAGGTCCTCTAATTAATGGAAATCTTAATTTATGTCTCTAAATGCTGTGTTAAGAGTGCTAATTTCAGGAACCACTTATTCTTGTTTAAAACTAGAACATATTTTATTTTCAAGAAAATAAGAGACCTCTGTCATTATTATAATTTAATAATTTTAAAATATTAAAATTTGATATTTTAATCCTAAAAATAGAGTTTCATCACTGCCACATGTAGTAGTAACAAGTTAATACAAATTTGGAGGGAAAAAGTAGGCTCCCATGTGTGTATTTGTCACTGTAAGTAATTGCTATGGTGTTGCAGATAACATACGTTATACAGGAATCTAGTTAAATGTGAATACCATAGTGAGGAAAGCAGTAGACCGTGGTAGTAATATATTCATGTTAACACATCATTTTGGATCCTTCTCAGTCATTTCTTCCTCAATACACATGAATTTCCAGCTTTAAAAACTCCAAACAGCAGTCATTTCTAGAAGAAATAAGGAATTGATTAATTTTTTGGAAATGTTTAAAAAAACGACACACTGCAATTCAATAGAATTTTCCTGTGCTGAAAGATGAAATAAATTATTTAATACAATTTATTGGGGATGAGCTTTACTTCTGTAAAGGAAGTCAGGCACTACTGATAAGCAAGCTCTCTGAAGTCCATGCCTCACTTGCCAAGCATGTGGACCTAAGGCTGTTAATATAGTCTGCTTGAATTTCCAAAATGTAAGGTCCCTCCCCAAAGGAAAGTGATACTGGTTTGAGAAGGACAGTCTTCTACTTTATAAGTGTTATATAGTATATAAGTTTATAAAGAAGAAAACAAAGGAAAGGGAATAAATGGTCAGTGGAGAGAAGCCACTGGAGGATGCATACTGTGGTCTGTCCTACTCAATATAGTCATAAGTGATCTCAAGAAGGGAATAAAGAGTGAGGTGACAAAATTTGTGACAATACTGTGTCACTCTGAAGTAGTAAAAGAAAGAGGTGACTGCAAGAAATCACAGAAGGACCTTGTGATATTGACTGCGTAGGCTGTGGGTGGCAAAGGAAAAGTGAGTTTTGATAAATGTGAAGTAATACGCAAGAATAATTATTCTAAATTCACATGTAATATGATGGGTTCTCAGTTTATCCTATAGATGAGGTCTTGGGATTATGAGCTATGAAAAAATCACCTCCAACCTCAACAATGGCCAAAAAAATCCAATACAAAGTTGGAAACTGTAAGGTAAGGAATAGAGAACAAAGTAGAAAACCTCACTGAGTCACTGTATAAATCCATGACCACCAAGTGCAGTTCTGGTCCCACCACCTCAAAAACATTCAGAGAAATATATCAAGGTTGATCAAAGCTATAAAAGATGATATGATACATAGGGAGAGTATGGGAGACTTTTAAATAGACACAAACTTCTTTGCCTGGAAAAGACGTGATTGAAAGAGGACCTGATGGAGGCAACTTACTTATTCACCAATCAATGCAGGTTTCTCGACATTCTTTTTCTGTTTCAAATCTATTGTTGGTACCATTACAACCTCCGTACCAGAACTGGCCACAAGAATTGCCATTCTTGTCATAATACCATTTCACCACATAGTTCCGACAATCCCCTGGTTTCAGAGGTTCCAAACACCTTGGATCTGAAAATACAGCACTAAATGTTAGCTTGGAATCTGGGGATAAGTTACATTATTCTAGAAGAGCCTCTTTCAGTAAGAAAAGCACCCCTTCTTTTTCTTGTAGTGCCTGTGAGTATATATGCCTCTCAAACTTGTAGCCAAATTCCATTTCTATTAATAAACAGGTCTAAACAAATACAGGATCAGTTTGAAACAAGACTACCTAAATCCTGATGTAAGAACCAAGCTTATATTTAAATACCTAAGTACACAAATGGTATACAAAGGTTGTCATCTAGGTTTGAAACTCTGACTCTCACTGTCAGAGCATCCAGAAAAACAAAACATGGTAAAATCTAGTAACTATATTGGGGGAGGGAGTGGGGTTTGCTGGTTGGTTGTTGATTGTGCAGACTTGCTACCCAGTATCTGAGGACAGTATTTATTACTTACCTTTTTGAGTCGTTGCTACCTGTGGCTGCAGCCCGGTCAGGTGGCTATCTTCAGCAGCAGTTACATTGAACAAAGCATTGGTAACTGGACTCTGAGGTCTGATGTCAGATATCTCATAAAGTGGGGGAAATTTTGTTTCTCTGTCAGCAGAGGTGGTCGCAGTGTGATCCTGAGCAGATGGCAGCAGCTCGATGTATCTGTTCTGTGATGGACTAAGCTGCAAAAGGAGTCAAAATCTTCTAATTTAAAAATCTGTCTGTGCTCAAATGTTAAGAGAAAAGTTTGAGAGAATATGTAGGAAACTAATGGTATTTTTCACGTATGTGACTTAGCAATAAACGACAGGTGGGTTTGGACCTCCTTCCCGTGATTACTCAGAAGATGCTGTAATTGTAACAGATGCATTTTCTGACATTGAGAACTGAATGAAAAAGCAAAGTAATGCCTTTTAATTTAGTCACTAAGCTGAATCAATTCCATTGAAGCAAAATTTCAGGCACCATGTAGTCTGTAATACAAAACAAAAATTGCAAGAACTCTGGAGTAAATCAGTGCTTCTTAACATCTGTTACACTCATTGGGAATGTTCTGACATCTTTGGTCTGTCAAGAAATGGAAAACAGCAGGCAGGAGGAACAGGGTACTTGTTACACTACTGCCAGAAAAACACATGTACATTATGCTCCTCCAAAGGTCTTTTTTGATGTGGAATCTCTTGAGTACAGCAAAAATTTCCAAAACTTGTGTTACAGATCCACATCCTAATAACAAGATTGTCTCCTAGATGTGTCCTTGCCTGTATCAAGCCAAGTGATAAATCAACCCTTTTCCCATTTCTAGCTAACATCCAGTTGCTAATTATTAGAATTTTAGAGTTTACCTTGATAAAAGTGTTAAGAAGCCAAGACAGCTTTTCACATTAAGGTTACTGTATAAAAATTTGCCTGTGTAGTGTTTTAGTATATTCAAGATTTCCAAGCATCCTAGAATAGTATAGTGTACATTATAGTGCAAATGACTGCATTAATCCCACACGTTGATAACCTATTTGGAATAGGAAAGAATTTTATACTATTTTGCATCTTTCCATTTACAGGACACTACTGACACAGTGAATTTAAGAAAACTCTTCAGAGTCATTTTGGCTCTGAAACTCAAAATCTAGCTGAAATGTAAATGTGCAGTTCATCTAATCCTTTGCATATTGTATTTCTTCTCCAAGTCTACAAAAAGGCTGTGTTTATTTCTGATAGTAATTCACAGTTTTGAAGATTTAACTATAACCACAGCCAGCCAGATCCAAGTCTGTTAGTACCCAATCACTTAGAACTAATCATATTTGTGATCCTTATCACAAGCTTTATAGATGTCAGCATCTATAAGTCCAGGTTTACATTAATTTTTCTTAATAATACAGAATGTCAAAATTGACCCTCAGTGTCAAACAAATCTGTCTGGAGGTATTACAAGCCCCAAACCTAAATCAATCACACTTGCTGAGGGACCTCTCGTTCACAGAAGTTAAACTGACTTTTTAAAGTGATCTATTTAATCACTAATGATGTTTACATAAACAATAATCCAAAGGATTAATTTCTGCTAATCTGCTGACTCCTCCACAGTAAGGCAGTACTATTTAACTAGCTCCAATCTGTATTCAATTCACTTGATATTTAAATACCAGTATCGTGGTCCACTATATCCATTCCCTGCAGCTAGAGATGTTTATACATCAAACATTTCAATAGTTTATTCAACAGGTATAGAGACAAGCAACGCTCAGTTTTTATCATCGGCTATTTTTAGGCAAAGCAATAAAAATACCCTAGAGAGTTAGTGCTGATATACTGTAAAGGTATAAATATCCTACTCTGATACTAAGACAGTGGCTGAAAAATATCACAGACCTAATAAGATATCTAAGGTGATATACATACACAGAAAATACTTATCTATTGCATTAAAACTCCACCTGTGCTGCATATCTGTGCAGCAGCACAATGTTGGAGGGTAGAACCCCAATGCAGGGCAGGAGGAATTTAAAGCTGGAGAATGAAGAGTAACATGAATGAGGAGTCCTGGAAGTACAGACCAACATGAAAAGCAAAACAATACCAAAGGCTTAATAACACCTAGAGAGTGCGTGACCACAACAAGAAGCATTTGTACACATCTTTTAAAAACACTTGATAACTGTTACTTCTTTACTTACTGGGTAACCGACTCCTTCTGTAGGGAGCATATAAATCTCTGAAGTAGTCATTTTAGGAAATGGGCTATTAGTAACTTCACTAGCAATTTCAGATTCCGGACTTGGAGATGGAGAGAAAATGTTATTTTTTCTGCTGTAGACTTCAGATACATTCTCACAAATTTTTGTGATCAGTTTACTTTCAAGAGCTGAAAAGATTAACAAAATTATGAAATTTATTAAGCGTAATCAAGAAAAGTCATAATGATTCACCACAAGTTTTTAGTGCAGTATTAACCCTAAATCTTTAATGATAGTGACTTGTGAAAGAACATCTTCTAAAGTGATGTCAAAATGGAAATGAGAAGTAATAAAGTAACGCACTCTCTGAATTATTTGCTTTTAATGCTCTTTTGTTCTTTTAAGAAGAAACAGATAAAAATACCAAGTCCCTTTTTAAAGACGAAGTCATAGCTCAACAGTAAAGAAAAGAAAACAGAGTGAAGGAATGAAAGTGTTTAGGTGCAGGAAGGAAAAAGAAAAACTGGGTGACACATTCTACTTATTTGCACAAAAAATAGAGTGACTGGGAATACTTTTATGTTGAATGCCGGAGCCTGAGTCAGAGCCCTAAATTTAATCCCAGCTAGGACCAGAACTTTAGCTTGGACTCTGTCCTCTCTGTTAACGCTTTAAATCTAGATGTAACTTCATCCACAGGCTCAGCATAGCAAAATGAGTTCATGCTCAGGAAAAATACACTTTATAGGTCTAGTCTGCCATTAGTCTAGATCAATGTACTTTTTTTCAAGGGTCATTATAGTTTTCCTCCGGATTTTCTCCTGATTCTAGCTGTGGCCACAGATTTTTCAAGGCACAGTTTGAAATACGCAATGTACTATCATCAGACATAATTCCCTTGTATGTTGCTCCACCATTTTCTCCCCAGAATCAGGATAAAAGCATAGGTTTCCCTATGGCTTTCAGAAAAAAACACTTGAAAGCATGCTTGTAAGAGATGGTGAAGGGACTCCAAGACTGACAAGAGCCATATGAAAGAGAGAGAGAAAGAGACAGAATTGTTGCATCAAGGTGGAAGGAAATCTGCACCTCTCTGGGATGAAATTGTTACCAAGCACAAAAGGACTGCCAGGGAAGGCTGAAGCAAGCTCTCACAAAAGAGGAGTGCCCCAAAGAAGGGCTTGGCTTGGAAAACTGCTGTTCATTGTGTTTTATTATTTCTGCAAGAGGTAAAAATTTGGCAAAGGTTTCATTTGGCCAAAGAAGAAGAGAAACAGAAGAGCTACATCCAAAAGAGAAACATAAGCTGTCATTTAGTGGGCTGCCTTGCCTTCCTACAGGAAAGGCCAAACTCTCTTATACGCTTATTTCAAATTTCCTCTTACTAAAATAGTTTCTTTTACCTGAAAGCGTCATGAAGTCATCTATCTGGTAGACATGTTCTTCATCAGGGTCTGTTGCAATCAGCTGCATTTCTTTCAGAAAATCATCATAATGAGGATCAGCCCTTTGAACAATCCCAATGACAAATATCTCAATATTCGTAGCATGGGCCTCCCTTACTACAGTATCCAGTTGTACTTTATCACGGGCGTCTGCTTGTCCATCTGTTATGACAACAGCCACTTTTCTTACTGCCGGGCGTGCTGCCTGAAATAACTGAATGGCTTCTTGGATAGCAGAAGCTGTGTACGTGCCTTCTCCTAAGTAAGGCATTTTATCAACAGCTGTTTTCAGGTATTCTTTGGTTGTGTACTGCTTCAGAGAAGACACCAACTCCACTTGATGGCTGAAGTTGATAATGCCAATGCGGGTTGTAGCGTGGTTGGCCGATATCTTGTCAATGACTGTTTTCATAAAAGTTTTTATAATATTGAAGTTATCTGGTCCAACACTTTCTGAACTGTCAATGACAAATACTAGTTCCAGTGGTGTTACTCTACATCTGATACCACAACCTAGAAGAATAACCATTTCAGACATTTTATGAGAAACCACCTTCATAAAAATGAATCGAACTCATATATCAAATTTACAGTCAGTTAAAGGTCAATTGATGAATTAATTCATAGTTACTGATACTGATAAATACAAACAGAGCTGGACCAAATTACTTCCAGTATAGCTGTGGCAACATAGTGAGCATTGTTTTCACACAAATGGTACCCTTACACACAAACATGTAGATGACAAATTCATTCAGTCAGTATAAATTCAGTGTGTTTTATTACAGCTTTTTTTTTTCCATACTGGAATGCTTACCACATATTTCACTGATAAGTCTGATAACTTCTTCTCTCTGAAAAAGAGTATTAATTAATTTGCTGTGTGTTCTAGTTTTAAGAATGATTAATTTTATTTATTTATTTATTTGTTAAAAATGCAGGCAATGCAATGCCCCATAAACAACCTTGTGTAACATCACATAACCTTTAAATATTGTTTCCAGAATACACTCTTATCTTTTAAATTAATTCATGTACATACTTACCGAAAGACCGGGTTCACCTTTTTTCCCCCAAGTTCCCTGAAAATGTGTAGAGTGAGATAGTCAACAAAAGACAAATTTGTCTAATTTCTATTGTATAAAATTAAGTAATATGAAAATATATTTTACCTTTGGTCCTGGAGGTCCTGGGTCTCCAATTTCTCCTTTGGCACCTTTGCTCCCTGGATCACCTTTATCTCCATAGTCTCCCTAATTTAAAACAACCGTATTAAACATGATCAGTTACTCCAGTTTTGTTGATAGTCAGAGGTGGAGTTATGGTTCAATGAGCTTTTAAGATTAACTTTCTGATGGCTTTTTACTATGTGGCTGATTTATCTTCTATGTACCATGAAGAGAACACCTGAAAGCAGGATCTTAGAGAAAGCAATATGGTCAGTAAAAACATCTTTAAGAAATTTATATGAAAAATTACCCTAATTCAGGAGTGAGGAGTAAAGACATCTTTATGCAAATATCGAGAATATGTAATTTTTTACTCTTCTTTGATTTTCTTAAACTCTAAAGGAATGTTTATACTGGACCTATCTTAATTCAGACCTATGAAGAGATACCACTGCCTCAGATCAGCCAATGTACTGAAACTCATACCAGCTTTGTACAGAACCCACATGAAAAACTGGGATGTTGCAAAGAACAGAGCAAAAGGCATGCTTGCGCTGTTACATTCATCGGAAAATACGTAGTTTCACATGTAGAAGCAATTCTGCACTTTTCCTCAAGTGACTAGACTTTTTGATTTCCAAAAAGAGGAAGGGTTCAATGTTACGGTATTTCAAGATAATGCAGGTATGAAATATACTAGCAAAGATTCAGGTTCTAAATTAGACATTTCTTCAAGAATGAGATTGTGCAGGACAGTTTTTTACTTCTCTCTGGAAGTTACTGACCAGCTTACATTTCATTTGCAACTTGAAACCTTAGAAATTTATCTAGATTACTGTCCATTTTGATATCATTCTTCAATATTACCCAGCCAATGGAATTACATAGATACCTCCTGTGTTACAGCATTCACCATGGTGATTACCATCTATTTTAATGAACACTTTTGACTCTCTCAGTCTGATTCTGATCTTATTCAAACCTGAAAATTGTACATAGCTCCTCCACAGAATTAGGAAAACCAGTCTCCACTAATTAAGCTCTTGGAAGACAGTTTCTATTCTATTTTCACAAAATCATAATATCCAGCAAAGGATATTACTTTCCATGAATTGAATCTAACATCAAAGTTAATGTCATAAGGGAGAGAAAATATGATCTACTGACTGTGGTGGTGGTGTTACTCTTTTACACATAAATATATTAAAACCTGATCTCTTTGGTATTTGGCCCTTATATGAAATTCCTACCGAACTAAAACATTCCTTTTCATGTGTGACAAGTCTGCTATATTAATAGCAAACAGAAAAATTGTGAGTATTTGGAGAGATTTTACATTGGGTCACAAAGATTAGTCAAGATACAAGATGAATATGAAGAACAGTGAAAATATTGCAATTATTATTGTAGTATGTAGCATTTGACATACGAAAGAAAATAGAATTAGGAGGCAGAAATTTGAATCTGTGTGATAGGGCTTGATATTCACTGTTGCATAAAAGCTCCAAGCTGTAGCAGCTTGAATAATACAGAAGTCTGAAAAAGTACTAGTGTAGACTACAGTATCATGAACATTATTAGTGCAGGCAACAAATGTCTGGGGCTCTGAATGGGTACTGCCTGCCTCAGGTGACTACAGAGGGGATTGAATTCTTATTTGGGTAACTTCCTCAAGTTATGGAGCCTGATCATCTCTGCTCTCCCATGAAGATTCCCATGAAGTTTTTCACCCTCATGCTTTCCAGACAGAGCCTTTACAATATATTCAATATTTCAGTGATGTTGTAGTTATTGCAGAGGGGCTGCCCAGCTGGTCCAGAAGTATGCTGTGAATTAAAGGTCGTCTGCTGCATCATGCACTGACATCAAGGCTCATTCCGCCTGGGCACACTGTTCTCACTCATGTATGCACATAGTTGGTCTCCACTTCCACACTGACCATGAGCCTTGGTTTCCTTTGGCTACGCTGCTCCCATCAGATGCTGCACATCTGAAAATCACTAGTAAATAGCCAAAGTATTTAAATTCTCTTTGCGCAAAATTTGTTAGATGGGAATAGGTGTGTAGGAATTTCCTACAATTTTTCTGTCAACCAGGAATTTGTTCGGCAAGGAAAGATTTAAGCTTGGGCTTCAATCATTGTAAATAATGAGTCAAATAAAAAAAGCCCTTGAAAGACATTAGTCAAAAAGCAATTCTTTTTTTTGTCAAAGCCTGGCAAATAAAAGAACATTTTTGTAATACCTGAAAAATGTCTAAGATAACTGAATACCTAATTTGACTAATATTATTCTCCTGCTAACAGGTATGACTTCATTCCAGATCGTACTTTGGAGCCTAGTCCTTAATGAAAATTAGGATTTTCACAGCCTCCAAAGCTGACGGTAAGTAATAGGCATTTACCTTGCTAGCTATACAAGACAATGTCTTTGCCTTCTATCTATCTTCAAAGAGCTGTCACACCAAATAACCAATAAAGGGAGAAAAAATTACCTTTTTTTTCTTATCGCAAACCTAGGATTTACCTTTGGTCCAGGAAGGCCAATTCCTATTGATCCCTTTAGTCCAGGAAAACCTTGATTTCCTTTTTCTCCCTGAACAGAATGTGGGAAGTAAGTTTAATTGAAAAATTAAATTAAAATCTATGCTGTATATATTCACTTTCTGTATCTATTCACATCTGCATCATAGAGAAAGCCAGATATTTGTATTATGCCATGAAGCACATAATTTTCAAGACAGAAGTGGTCTGAAGCTGGAGAAATAAGCAGTTGGGTACAATTCAGAACACAGATAAAGCCTTTATAAAGTATATAATGAAGAATTTATTCCTGATTAATTAAAAGAAAAATTGTCATTTCACTGAAACAGATGAAAGACAAAAGTAACCTCACTGAGGTTCAGACAGTTATTCATCCAGCCTAGAAGCAGTAAAATGAGGTCCAGCACAAAGGTTCTCTAGAAATACACACCCAGAATCTCTGCAAGGTTGATGCAGTTTTTCTGATCTTAAGTAAATAAAAAGACATCTCTGCTTTTCACAAAGAGCAGACCATCCTTCTGCTGATACTTCAAGTAAGACAGTATCAGTCCAGCTACAAAGTTAAATTTGTTTATAATGATTGTTATACATGCCCTGATGCATGAACACAGACTTGAAAAGCATGTTCACGCTAGCAGTGTGGGCATACAATGTGTTATAAAACGCAGCTGTTTATTTTATAAAATAGATACAGAAAATACTTCACAGCATCTGGCTTCCAGAAACTTTCCTGTTTTATTTAATAGGGTAACACAAGTATTTTTTTCAGATCAACTGCTGTATACATTTTAAACACAGCTAGAGGTGATTATATTGCCCGGTACATAAATGCTTCACCATAATTCACATTATATACATAATTCACATAACAGCAGTGCATGGTGCAGACACCAAAACCAGCTCCAGAGAATGTCAATGAGATCAGGAGCAGTCATCACCTGTACCTGACCTAGCCTATGAGATGCAAGTACAAAGTTAGTTTTACTTTTCAGTCAAGAGCCCTCAGACTAGTGCTCTCACTAAAGCATCTTTTACTAATACTTGTATAGCTGCTTACAAATAGGCCAAAGGGGTTATATTGCTCATAATGGGCAGAGAAATACAAAATGTTTCCAAATTTATCAAGACTCCAGCCTTCACCAAAAGCACTCTAGTGCAGAAGGACTGACCACTGACCATTCCT